AGTGAAAAAAAAATTACCGTATTATAGCACAAAAAAAAATATATAATATAAAAATCCAGATTTTTCAATTCTTCAACTTTTATATTCCCACTTTTTGTTGCGTGTTCATATTTACGGTGCCAATTATATCCATTACCTTCTAGTGTGTGTGCTCACCTCAAAGATTCGACCCTCAAGAAGTCAAAGAGCAATTAATATCCCCGGATGATCCCTGGTTGGATGGATCTCTCCCTTTAAGTGGACACAGGAACAGCTCCCACCAAAATCATATAAACGATCAAACACATCTTTAAGAGGTCTTCAAAAGGCTCAAAAAGAAGTCAAAGATAGAACTTCCATAGTGTAGTAATTAGATATTTATTTTAAAAATTCAAAAATAGCCAAATGGCTACTTACATAAAAACAAGGGTCACAGACCCAGCAGGCATGTACTGTGTAACCCACAGTCAGGTGTACATACAAGGAGTCCCAAGATGGCGATTACCGCCCAAACGTAATGACATCACCACGCTCTATTCCTACTAGTTATGTCACGCTAACACGTGACTTCTTCAGGGCTATAGAGCTGGTGACCACGGACACCTTTTATAGGAAGTCGGCACCTGAAACGGATCATTAGGCGGAGCACAGCGGCCATTTTCCCATATATTTTTTTCACATATACAAAGAGCATTTAAAACTGCACGATAATGATCTTAAATTATTGCAATATTTGGACAGACTCTGACCCTATGGTCATACTGCATATATAACCCTTAATTTACATATATATATGGATGAATATGAATACATATGATTGAAAAGAACCACATTAATACATAGATTTATAGCGACCATTTTCCCATAGATTATACACATACATTGAAGGAACCTCACCCAGCAGCACATTGGTGACATCCAAGTACCTAGAGACAACAGCCATCCCAACCAAACATTACCCTTACCCCAGATACCACCCCCCATACTGTATATAACAATTACCTCATGGATGCATATTTAACTTATACTATAATATTAATGTAAGCTTAAAGAGAGATAATTCAAATGTAAGATTATATAGAGGAATTTAAAGGGCCACACACTTAATAATCACTTATGAAACAATTGATATCAAATCTCTATATTTTATTATTATTATTATTATTATTATAATACAGGATTTATATAGCGCCAACCGTTTGCACAGCGCTTTACAATATAAGGGAGACAGTACAATTACAATACATTTCAGTACAGAAGGAATAGGAGGGCCCTGCTCGTGGAGCTTACAATCTAAAGGAAGGGGGAGGTGATACAAAAGGTGATAGCTGCGGGGGATGATCTGGCGGAGGTGATTCAAGTACAGTTCTTAGGTGGAGGTGGGGTAGGCTTCCCTGAAGAAGTGAGTTTTCAAAGATCGCCTAAAGGCAGACAGGGTGGGGGCTGACCGGACATGCTGTGGTAGGGAGTTCCAGAGGATGGGAGAGGCTCTGGAGAAGTCCTGGAGGCGAGCGTGGAAGGAGGTGATGAGGGAGCTAGAGAGGAGGATATCATGGGAGAATATTTAATCCTAAAGTTGCTAAGGTATCCATATTGTAAATGCAATGAGACTCAGCCTGATTCAAAGATTTAATTTTATTACTCCCCCTCCAATGGGGGTGATATTTTTTCTATACCCCTATCATACTGTGATGCTCGTGGAAACCCTTCCCATGCATATAAAATGCATATGCTGTGGATATGGCGGGGGGGGGGGGGGGGGCAATTATTCTAATCATTTTGGTGGCATGGCTCCAATCCATGGAGGAAGAGGAAGGCTAGGAACCTGGAGATTTGATAATATTGCTTGGGAAAACAGGCAGTTATCGAACAGATGTAACAAAATGCTTTCAATTGTATATTTACCAGATCAAAAAAAGATCAAATAAGGAAAGTTCATTATTAGGGTTTGCATACACTTTAACCACTTCCAGTCTGGCCCATGTAGACAAACAGCCAGAAGCTCCCTGGGAGCGTGTGGCACCACGATTGGTGCCAGCTGTGTCCTCCGGACACAGCAGAACACAGATCACTGTACGGGACCTCTGTGTGATTGGCCAATCGGTAATCACATGAATAGTAGTAAGCAAGATGTCACTTCCTGACATCATTGCTTACTATTTGTGAAATCTGTGAATGATCACAGAGGTCACGTGGTACAAGGCTATTCACAACAGCCTTGTACCATGTGACAAGCTGTGACCAATCACAGCACTCACAGTATCTTGCAATGGCTGCAGGAATGCAGCCAGAGAGAAGGAGAAATGATTGCTTTTTAAAGCCTTTGTGGGTGTAAAAAAAGAAAAAAAAAATCTTCATCACCCCACAAGTAGTACAGTGTCTCAATGGCATTGTCACTATGGTGACATTGTACTGCTAGGGTGACAGTATGTTAAAAAACCACAAACATAAATAATAATATAAAAAAATAAAATAGAAATGTAAAAAAAGTTTGAAAATTATAATTTTTGATTATAAACTAATTTGGGTTATTTTTGTTTCACTAAAAAGATAGATGAATACATTTTGGCCAAGATTTATGAAGAAAGATTATTTATTTGCAAAATTTTATAAGAAAAACACTTTTTTTTCAAATGTTTGGACTTTTTCATTTATATAGCAAAACAAAATAAAAATCCCAGTGGTGAATAAATACCACCAAAATAAAGTTTTATCTGTGTCACAAAAATTCTAAAAAAATCATATGGGTACAGTGTTGCATGACCGCGCAATTGTCATTCAAAGTGTGATAGCACTCAAAGCTGAAAATTGGACTGGAAGGGGGTGAAAGTGTCCGGACTTGAAGTGGTAAAAGAATTTTTGGTTCTATAAAGTATTATTAATCTAATAGCAAACTCAAAAAAAGGGCATTTGAAAAAAAAAACAATGAATGCAATTGTGTATTCCATAAAATGATTAACTGTGTATTTTAACAGGACTGTGGCACTGCGGCCTCCCCGCCCCTGCTTGTGCACGCTCCCTGGGAGCGCGCAGCACCACGATCCGGTGCCCACTGTTTCCTCCGGATACAGTGAAACACTGATCGTCTGTACGAGTCCCGATCATGTGATCACTGATTGGCCAATCAGTGATCACATGCAAAGTAGTGAGCAAGTTGTCACTTCTGACATCATTGCTTACTACATGTGAAATCTGTGAATGATCACAGAGGTCACATGGTACAAGGCTATTCACAACAGCCTTGTACCATGTGACAAGCTGTGACCAATCACAGCTCACTCAGTAGTTCTCAATGGCTAATTTTTGGTTTATAAACTAATTTGGATTATTTTGTTTTCTACTACTAAGGAGGTATTTTAGGGGATCTGGCTGTGTAGTCTGGCAGGGTTGTGCATATCACAAAAAAGGCTACAGATAATGGTAAAATCATTAATCGTGTCATTGGTAAAGTAGATCCCATATACTGTATAGTTTTGTGCAATCGACTAAAGGAAGAAATTGGAGTGTATCCGGATGCCAGATCACTTCCAAAGAACTGGGTAATATTTTAGTGCCATGTCCTAATTATAATAGTCAGAGGCTTAATGTCCTCCACCCCCCTATAGGATTCATCTGGTGGTTATTATGTCTCCAATCATTAAGGTGTTCCTTGTATATGGTGGGCTGTGGGACATTGTCTGCAGGAACAGTATCACTATGATCTTTTAAACTGAGATATTTTTCCATGACTTATTGTCATAATAAAGTACAAATGATTTTACTAATATGAGTTTGGAATTTCTGTGCCTCTAAAGTCCATTTGCAACCTCTCCCCCGTTTTTTCCTTTCAGTTTCATGCAATCAGCTGCTTACCTACAGTACAGCTTTAAGTAGTTATTACACATTGGCCAAACTCGTCAACTACTGGCTAGAGTTTATTCTTAATTTCAAGTATCTCTAAATATACACATTAAAGTAAAATTTTAGTTAACAAGGTCAACCAATTAAATTAGACAGACAGAACCTTAGATTGAGGTAGCATTTGCTTCCCGAGAAAAGGCTATTTCACATAGTCAGCACCGGCATGTGCATTCTGGATATATCCATGCCAGCTAATAAGTCAAAACTTACTCTTTTCTGTCTAGCTCCTGCTTCTAAAGGATAATTAGGGTTATATTTATATTTTATAACACATAGGCTGCTTGTCTAAGAGAAATACAGTATGATAAACGAGCTCATTAGTCAATGCTGGTCTTGAAGATCAATTCCTTGGGTTACTTTATATCTGTCTGAAGTGATTCACAAGAGCAAATGAACAACAGTACATAACTTGTGTACAGATTGCTCACATTTAATTAGAATACTCAGGAAAATCCCTTGAGTGCAGCCAATGTAATCCATGCATTCATACAGGATATGTATTTAAAAATGTATAGAGATGGCAGGACTGCTTTACATGTCTATGTGACTAACAAGTTTGAAGAGTTTCCCTAGACTTCACAAACAACTATTTCAATGTGATCCGTGGAAAGGAAGGCCCAGAGTAAGAAGAAAGAAGACCTGAACGAAGGGCTGGCATGACAGGGGTTAAAGGGGATTGGGAGAGGCAGAGTCCCATTAGCATAAGTGGGAGTCTAAATAGCTTTAACCGGAGCCTATGGCCGAATGGCATCCGGCTAAAACCCTCACCTTTCCGGGTGGACGTCATATGGTGTCCTTTCGCACATGCGCAGTTTGCGCGCCTGCAGAGCCACGCAGCGACGCAATCTGTCACCGGCCGTGTACCTCGGACACGGCCGATGACAGATCTGAGTACCGGCCCCATTGCCGGTACCATGTGACCTGCTGTGACCAATCATAGCAGGTCACATGACAGTTGTATACAATGGATGGCATCATTCATGCCATCCATTGTATACTAGTGTGCAGGGGCAAACTGACCATTCGAGCACTCGGGCACTGCCCGAGGGCCCAGGGTCAGTAGGGGGCCCCATGAAATGCCCCAGGTACCTTTTTATAGGCTTTGTTGGGTGTGCTTTGAGTGTGGGCAAGGACACAGGGGCCCCATGATCCCCTATTGCCCGGGGGCCCCATGAGTTGTCAGTCCGCCCCTGCTAGTGTGTCTAGCTGTGAATGGTCACAGCGATCACATGCACAAGCTGGGCCAATCACAGCCCAGCTGTGTCATGTGATTAGCCATGGCCAAATCACAGCTATGCACAAAAAAAAAAAAACCAAAAAACCCTGAATGAATGGATGTCATTCAGGTAAATGCTTGCTTATAGCAAAGTAATTCTTTGCTACAAGCAAATTGTGTAAAAAAAAAAAAAATACTGATCACTTCCCCACTTTACTATGGTAACATTGTACTACTTTGGTCACAGTGAAATATGAAAAGAAAATCTTGAAAAAAAATAAAATAAATGTAATAAAAAATTACAAATAATAAAAAAAATGTTTTAAATTATATATTTTTTTCATACTGTCACCAGTCAGTGTCCCTGATCACCGCCATGACAGTTATATGATGACACTGTACTGCACTGGTGACAGTATGTAAAAAAAAAATAGTGAAAATAATTTTTTTAATTTTTTCATTTTATGAAAAATTGTGCCAAAAAAATACAACTTAAAAAAAACTCGCCATGCCTGTTATGAAGTATGTTGGACTGTCTACTTTGCAAAAAGGGGTCATTTGGGGGATATCTGTACTGTTTTGACATTCTTGGACCTCAAGAAATTAGATTGGCTGTCATTACTTCAGGATTGATCAATATTCAGATCTATACCATAGTTTGTGAACTCTATAACTTTCCTACAAACTAAAAAAATACATCCTAATTTTGGTTATTTTCACCAAAGACATGTAGCAGAATACATCTTGGCCTGAATTTATGAAGAACAATTATTTATTTGCAAACTTTTATAACAGAAAAAAAGGAAAAACTAGTTTTTTTTTTTCAAAATTTTCGGTAATTTAGCAAAAGATAAAAACCCCAGCGGTGATTAAGTACCACCAAAAGAAATCTCTAGATGTGTGAAGAAAATAATACAATGTTAGTTTGGGTACAATGTTGTATGACCGCGCAATTGTCATTCAAAGTGTGAAAGCGCTGAAACCTGAAAAATGGCCTGGGCAGGAAGGGGGTAAAAGTGCCTTGTATTGAAGCGGTTAAGAAAGGAGTTGGGGGAGCTACAAGGGGTGGTCTTACAGGGTGTGGCAGGGGGTTTTCAGTCTGAAGAGAGTTTTCACAAGGCAAACTTTCCTCCCACCCACCTGTTGTTTTATGGTTTGTCTTGGTGGGGGTTGTGCCATATTGGTGCTGGGGGATGTCCGGTGGGGTGCAAGGTCCTCGTTGGTTAATGTGGGCACAAGAAAAGGCACTTTGTAGGAACCCGTCTGAGGTACGGCTTCCAGTTGTTCTGGTGGGGGTATCTGTGGTGCTGTCTCCGAGTCGGTGATGTTGCAGCTGGAGGCCTAGTTAAGCAGCACACAGGTATTCGTTTTCTTGATGCCTATCGGGACCTTGCAAAAAACGTATGTTTATACTGTTATTTAAAATGTTATTTATTGATGGTTGTAATAAAAGGCTGTTTTTGTGCCATCAACTCCATTTTGTTGTCAGTGTGGTTACTTGGGTTAAGGATGGATGGTAGGCATTGGTTTAGTTGGACTTTACAAGCCTTCTTTAGTCCCCTGGTCAAAAATTTTGTTGGTAGAATAGAGTGGGATGAGTGGCTTAAGCAAAGTACAGAATAGTAGAAGTGTGTCCAGAAGACTTCATTCATTGAGGATCTGCATTTCGGCTAAGTTCTTTGCTTATTGCTAACAAGGGGGTTATTTATAAAGCTGGAGAGTGGAAAATCTGGCGCAGCTCTGCATAGAAACTAATCAGCTTCAAGGTTTAACCATTTCAAGTCCGGACACTTTCACCCCCTTCCAGTTCAGGCCAATTTTCAGCTTTCAGTGCTATCACACTTTGAATAACAATTGCGCAGTCATGCAACACTGTACCCATATGAATTTTTCAGCATTTTTTTTTAGACAGATAAAACTTTATATTGGTGGTATTTATTTACCACTGGGATTTTTATTTTTTTGCTATATAAATGAAAAAGTCCAAACATTTTGAAAAAAAATTTTTTTCTTATAAAATTTTGCAAATAAATAATCTTTCTTCATAAATCTTGGCCAAAATGTATTCAGCTAACTTTTTAGTAAAAAAAAAAAAACCCAAATTAGTTTATAACCAAAAATTATAATTTTTTAAAAATGTTGTTATTTATGTGTTTTTTAACATACTGTCACCCTACCATAGTGAAACTGTACTACTTGTGGGGGGGGTGTTTTTTCACTGATTGCTTTTACACTCATAAAGGCTTCAGCCATTAAGAAATACTGTGCAAGCTGTGATTGGTCACAGCTTGTCACATGGTACAAGGCTGTTGTGAATAGCCTTGTACCATGTGACCTCTGTGATCATTCACAGATTTCACAAGTAGTAAGCAATGATGTCAGCAAGTGACATCTTGCTTACTACTATTCATGTGATCACTGATTGGCCAATCAGTGATCACATGATCGGGACCTCACACAGAGGTCCCACACAGCGATCTGTGTTCCACTGTGCCCTCCGGACACAGCGGGCACCGGATCGTGGTGCTGTGCGCTCCCAGGGAGCACGCACAGGCAGTGAATGCGGAGGCTGTTTATAAACGGCAACCCGCCCCTGCACTGTTTCTGTCCGGTCGTTTATATACATGAGCTGGACGGGAAGTGGTTAACTGAACAAGCTGAAGTTAGAAGCTGATTGGCTACCATGCACAACTGCACCAGATTATGAGTGCACCAGTTTTAGTAAATCTACCTGCTAATGACAAAAGAATGAGAATGGAAATCGAGTCCTAACCACTTAGGGGTCAAACAAATCATACACTGCATAAAAGTGATTCGGAGTGAAATCAAATCTCTTGATCTTCATACTTGTTGCAAATAAGTGCCAAACAATATTGAAGCCATTGGTTAAAGCTGGTCATACACTGTAAGAATTTCTGTTCTGAGCTACGGAACATGTCTAGTGAGATGGAAGGTGTGCTTCCTTGGCCACTTTTGCATTCTAGGGTTTTTGCCTAGCTTAAAAGACATGGAGACCTTCCTAAAAGGAAGTCAGAGGTGGCAAAAGGGCTGAAATCCTTAAGTTTATTAAAGCTAGTCTTACACTTGAATGGGAAGTTTATGCATGTTCTACCTTGCCTTATGAGAGGACTTTTGCATGATCATTATGTAATGCTAACCACTCATACAATACTGTATATAGTTAGTAATAATCTAGATACATAAATAAATCGAATTGCCTCTGCACACAACACTCTATTGTAACAATCAATATGAAAAAAAACAAAAAACAACTAAATATACAGTGAATATAAAAAGTCTACACACCCCTGTTAAAATGTCAGGTTTCTGTGATGTAAAAAAAAGAGACAAAGATAAATCATTTCAGAACTTTTTCCACTTTTAAGGCCAGTTCACACTACATGCGTTTCAATTGCATTTTTCCTGCATCCAAAATGCACAGAAAGTAGGATATATGCTCGTCAATGTCATAGTTCGCATCAGTGCTTGCAGTTTGAGTGCATTCCGGTTGCAGAAAAAAAAGTAGAACAGGCTGAATTTTTTGTGCACAGAACTATACTGGAATGTGGTAAAACGCACCAGAATGCATTGGAATGCACCAAAAATGCACTGGAATGCACATGTCCCTATTTAAATTGAAGAAAAAGACGGGAAAATATTACTGGAATGCATAAAAAAACGCACCAGAATGTTTAAAAAATGCACCAGAACACACAAAAATTGTGTATGCAAAAGCGCATCTGGAACGCACCTGGACTGCATTTATATAGTGTGAACCAGACCTTAATGTAACCTATAAACTGTACGACTCAGTTGAACAACAAACTGAAACCTTTTAGGTGGAGGGAAGTAAAAATAAAAAACTAAAATATGGTTGCATAAGTGTAAACACCCTTAGACTAATACTTTGTTGAAGCACCTTTTGATTTGATTCCAGCACTCAGTCTTTTTGGGTATGAGTCTATCAGCATGGCACATCTTTACTTGGCAATATTTGCCCACTCTTCCTTGCAAAAACACTCCAAATCTGTCAGATTTTGAGGGCATCTCCTGTGCAGAGCCCTCTTCAGATCACCCCACAGATTTTTGATCGGATTCAGGTCTGGGCTCTGGCTGGACCATTCCAAAACGTTAATCTTCTTCTGGTGAAGCCATTCCTTTGTTGATTTGGATGTATGCTTTTGGTCGTTGTCATGCTGAACGATGAAGTTCCTCTTCATGTTCAGCTTTCTAGCAGAAGCCTGAAGGTTTTGTGCATATAGAGATGTATTTGGAACTGTTCATAATTCCTGATGCTGCCACCACCATGCTTCACTGTGGGTATGGTGTTTGTTTGGTGATGTGCAGTGTTGTTTTTGCGCCTAACATATCTTTTGGAATTATGGCCAAAAAGTTCAACCTTGGTTTAATCAGACAAGAACACATATTTTCCCTCATCCTTTTGGGAGACTTCAGATGTGTTTTTGCAAAATTTAGCCAGGCTTGGATGTTTTACTTTGTAAGACAAGGCTTTTGTCTTGCCACTCTACCCCATAACCCAGACATATGAAAAAACAGGAGATTGTTGTCACATGTACCACACAACCAGTACTTGCCAAATATTTCTGCATCTCCTTTAACCACTTACCTACCAGGCACTTTTTACCCCCTTCCTGTCCAGGCCAATTTTCAGTGACAGGCATCACTGATGGGCACTGAAAAGCAGCACTCATATATGGCACTGATAGACGGCACTGATGGGTACTGATAGGCTGCACTAACTGGCAATGTTAGGTGGCACTGATAGGCGGCACTGATAGGCGGCACTGATGGGTAATGATAGGCGGCACTAATTGGCAATGTTAGGTGGCACTGATTGGCGGCACTGATAGGCGGCACTGATAGTTGGCACTGAAAGGTAGTTCTGATGGGTACTGATATGTGGCATTGATGGGCACTGGTATGTGGCAGTGATGGG